AGAGTACCTTCGTCTTGTAAAAATCTATTTCGTGTGTACCCACATCATTACAACAATGATCAGCCACAGTTGAGGTATTGGTCCTATCGTGTTTCAGATCTGCCTTATGTTCACGAACACGGTCGAAGACATGTCGCTTAGTTTCCCCAATGTAACTACTGCCGCAGACACTGCTTATTTTGTATGTACTGCATGTCAGGGATCACATCCTTCGAGAGAGGTCACTAAAATCAAACTCCATTCAGCCCAAAAAAGTGAACCGGAGAGAACTGGTTTCCTGGTCTCTCGATAATGAATTTCAAGTCACCAATGCTGAAACACCAAGCCTCACAGATTAGGATCACTGGTAATCTTACAGTGATGGCGCAGAAACTGCACATTTTATGTGACATGATTCAATTAGTGCGCAATGCAAGTGAGAGTAATGATTCCACGAAATCGCACGTTTGAAATGTAAAATGCATCTACAATTGCATGCCACGTTAACATGTTAAATTAAGCTATCGATTATAATCGAAGATCACTAAAGAAAAGGACAGATCGCCTCTGAAAAGCTTTTGAAATGGCAAGCAACTTGTGCGTGAAGTTACATCACAACAACAATAATAGGCCTGTGTGTCTCGAGAGACAATTATTTTGCGGTGGCAGCTCCAGAGGTATTTGTTGCTTTTTCTTTACAGTCGCTCCCTCTTGGTCTGCCAAGCAGTGTGTCTTTTCTCTTCGCCTCTCCTGAGGCCTGTTTTCACAGCCTGCAGTTTTCTCCCAGTCACCTGGGTTGATGTCACAGCTCATGTCCCGTTTACAGACATCTTTGAAGTGCAGGACTGGGCGACCAGTGGCCCATGTGCCTGATGCCAGCTCGCCGTACAAGACATCCTTGGGCATTCTGCCATCCTGAATGCGGCGCACGTGTCCAAGCCATCTCAGGCGCCTATGACGGAGTAGAGAGTACATACTGGAAATGTTGGCCAAGTTGAGGACTGAGGTCTTGGGAATGCGATCTTGCCATCTGATACCGAGGATGCGCCTGAGACATCAGAGGTGGAATGTGTTTAGTCGATGTTCTTGATGGGCGTATGTTGCCCAGGACTCAGACCCATAGAGGAGGGTGCTAAGGACACAGGCCTGATACACCTGTACTTTGGTGTTGAGCGTTAGGGATTTGTTCTCCCACACTCTTTTGGTCAACCTGAATATAGCTGTAGACGCCTTTCCAATGCGCTTGTCAATCTCTGTGACAAGGGACAAATTGCAGGTGATGGTGGAACCCAAGTAGGTGAAGTCCTGAACGGCTTCCAGGGTGTAGTTGCCAATGTTTATGCAAGGGGTGTCTCTGACATCCTGGCATATGACATTGGTCTTTTTCAGACTGATTGTCAGGCCAAATTTGTTGCAGGCATTGGCAAGGTGGTCGATGAGTGTCTGCAGACCTTGTTCTGTGTGAGTTGTCAGCGCAGCATCATCAGCGAATAAGAGTTTTATGATGAGGACTTTGCGGACTTTGGTTTTGAATCTGAGACGGCCACGGTTGAAGAGTTTGCCATCAGATCTTGTATGGAGAAAGACTCCTTCTTCTGCTGTCCCAAAGGCATGTGTGAGCATAAGTGAGAAAAATATGCCAAACAGTGTTGGGGCAAGCATGCCCCCCTGTTTTACACCGCTGAGTATGGGAAATTCCTCTGAGGTGGTGCCCCTGTGCTGTATTGTTCCTTTCATGTTGTCATGGAAAGAGGAGATGACTGCCAGCAGCTTCGGTGGGCAGCTGATCACTTTGAGGAGTTTGAAGAGGCCTCCCCTACTGATGAGGTCAAAGGCCTTTATCAGATCAATGAATGCCAAGTACCGGGGCATTCTCTATTCTCGACATTTTTCCTGTAGCTGACACAAGGAGAAGAGCATGTCAATCGTGGACCTTCCTGCTCTGAAGCCACATTGATGATGTTGGAGTCTCTAATGTTTTGAGGCACTGCTCCTTCTTCCCAGCACTCGCATATTAGTTCATGGAGTTTTGTGAGGATAGCGGGTTTTGCACATTTCAGTACCTCAGGTGTGATGCCGTCCTGTCCCGGGAACTTGCCGCTGGCTAGTGAGTTGATGCCATTGTCAAATTTCTTCAAGGTTGGAACATTGTCCAGTTCGTGTATCGTTGGTAGGGGCTTTACAGAAGCAAGGACAGCTTCTGACACGCCGTTGTCTCGTGAGTAGAGCTCTGAGTAGTGTTCTACCCACCTGGCCATTTGCTCTTGTTTATTAGTGATGATGGCCCTCTTGTGCTGGATTTCAGGGGGGCAGTCCTCCTGATGTTTGGACCAAAGGCTGTCTTGATGCCTTCATACTGTACATGGCATGGATATTACCAGTGTCAGAGTTGGATCCTACTGCTGAGGTTCAGCCAGTAGTTGTTGGCACAGCGTCTGGCAGTCGTTTCAGGTGCACTGCAGGCAGCTTTCAGAGCCCTCAATGTTCCTGTACTTGGGACTTGTTTGTACTTCAGAAGTGCCATGCGCTTGGCTTGGAGGATGGGTTCCAATATAGCCAGGTGTTCCTCAAACCAGTCTGTGTTCCGCCTTGTCTGCTTGCCCAAGGTATTGATGGCTGCATTGAAGATGGCGTCTCTGATGTACGCCCACTTTGTCTCCACGCTTCCATCTGGTGTGTCGTGTAGGGACTGCTCAAGGCTGTGTTGGAATGATTGAGTGAGCTCTGGGAGGGATGTCTTGGCAGAGTTGATGCATAGGTAGCGCTTTTGTTTGTGGCGGTGTATCTTTTTGGGGTGTTGTCGGACCTTGCTGTATACCAGTGAGTGATCGGTGTCACAGACTGCACTGTGGTAGCTGCGTATGATGAGTACTGAGTTGAGGAGGGCTCGTCGGGTGATGACGAGGTTCAGTTGGTGACAATTAGGAGACCTTGGATGTCTCCATGATACTTTATGGCAAGGTTTTGTGAGAAAGAATGAGTTTGTGATACAGAGATTGTGGTATGCGCAGAGCTCCAGTAGTCTTTGGCCACTGGGATTCATCATTCCGATGCCATGATAGCCAAGGCATGCGGGCCACGCGTCGTGGTCAGCCCCTACCCTTGCATTAAAGTCTCCCAACAGAAACATGTGCTCAGAGCTGGGGATTTTGCGAATAATATTGTGAAGCTCTTCATAGAACTGGTCATGAATCTCTGGAGGTGAGTAGAGTGTTGGGGCGTAGACACTCAGGATGTTTACATGGCCAGAAGCAGTGAGCAGTCTCATGAGCAGAATCCGCTTGGAGCCTGCGGTTGGTGGTTCTATCATGCCAAGGAGCGTGTTTTTGACGGCGAACCCAACAGCGTGCTGCCTTGGTTTGTTCTGCTATTTGCGTTGCCAGTAGAAAGTGTAGTCACTCTCTCGTAGTGAGCCACTGCCAGCAAGCCGGGACTCCTGCAGTGCTGCAATATCCACATGGAGTCTCACCAGCTCCCTGTCGATAACTGTAGTCTTGCGGATGTCCTCAATTTGCAATAGATCTTCGGAGAGTTCAGAACACATTGTACGTACATTTCAGCTTGCAAAATGAAGGTGCTGGAACCTTCTTTCCTTTTGTTTTGCTTTTGTCTGGTGCAGGTGTTGCAGCCCACTTGTCTGGTGGTGAACCATAAGCTCCAAGCACCCATTGGAGCAGGTGAGCCGTGGCGGGAAAGCACCTTATTGGCCGGGGGCTGCCCAGCTTGAGGCAGGCGGTAGCTATCCATTGGGGTGCAATGACTCCTCCCACCGACGATGGCAACCCGTGGCGCCCATTTTTTACGCCAATCCAAAATAAGCTTGTAACCCGTGACTGCTGCCATCCGTGTTTCTTCGCCACAATTAGGTGGCCGAGGAGTGTCCTCTCCCCATTTTTGCATTTCTTGTTGGCTTAAAGCCCGGGCAGGTTACTCTGGAAATCCTGGGTTGCCCATGCGTCAGGATCCCCCCTTCGGTCTTGCTGGTAAGGTCTAAAGGAGTGCGTAGCACGACGTTTGGTAGCAGTTTGGCTGCAGGGGCTGCCGGGAATGTGCCGCTTTGCATCACAAAACCGCCTAAGGGGTTTACTCTCTTTGCCATTGACTCACCCGAGACACTCACAAGGCAGTGAGAAAATGACATAACCCTGGGAGGGGCCCTTACCAGGTACTGACAGCCGGGCCAGCTGTGCTTGAGACTCGCGTAAGGCAGGGTTGTCACGCCCTGAGGTAGTTTATCGCAAACTACCCGTTACATCACAGCTATGCAAAGTAGCCTGGGTACTTTCAAGATGGTATCAAACGGCGTGTCGTGTGTGCTGGGACAACGTTGTGTCATGAAGAGCTCACCCGATGTGTCTTCCGGTTGTACCAGACTTTGTTCAGCGTTACGTCTAACGTTTTGCCAGTGGCGGGATGTTATCTCATTCGCCTGGTATGTACTGTAGGAGGCCGTGGGTTTAATCCCATCCCTGACAGCTGTATATTTTGAGTTTGGCGTTTGCATGATCTCACTCTCCCTGTGGTTGCGTGGATTGTTCTCCAGGTCCTCTGGGTTTTCCCTCCACATTGAAAATCATGTGCTTATTTGGCTGCTATAAATTTGCACATATGGTCAGCTACTTTGATGAGCTATCATGGTGGCCAAGTCACCTCTGAAAAATATCTAACAGCTCAGTAGGCTTTATAAGGTCAAAAGAAGTACATCACAGCAGTGAAAAGTCTTAGCAGTAGCATTGTTATGATGTTCGTGGTAAGGCTTGTCTGGATTAAATATTGGAACTATTAGCAAATAACCACCATTATTGATGATAAAGTTGAAACTGGAAAGCCTATTCATTCATAAACATATACCTTCTAACCGCGCAGTCTTAAAACCAGTCTTCTTTATTATGTTACACCCATAATTGAATGCTTTTATCCCAAACTGTTGTGTCATTACTTTGTGGCTTGGTTCCCGAAATAGAAGTATAGTTTTTTTTTTTAAACCCACGACGTTGCCATGTTGCTGGGAGGTGGCTGACCTGTGCGATGGTGCACATCAGCATGAGCATCAGCGGAGCGGCGACCTTGTCCCGCTGGCCATCCTGCTCCACCTGCGAGACACGACGGCCGGGTCACACTCAGCAACGGCAAAGACAAAGATCCCCCGTTGAGCCTTAAAAGACTGTTGGGGCAAGTGCTATTAGCGAGCACCTATTAAGGCTGGCACGACACACCAAGGGGTGGGTGGCCAGTGCCACGCCTGGCCGCCTTTGTCTCCCTGTGGTACTTGGTACTCATTTGAGGTCGAGTCGACATAGTGGACGTCCAGTTCAGATGATCGTCACCGGTGTTGGCCGTTAGCGACAATCGAGCGCACACATACACACGCACGTGTAAAAGCACATCGCTCACGTTCACACACTGTCACCTGTGTTAGGAGTAAATGGATCTGTTATTAGTTTATCCCGGCAGAAAGATAGTCATTATATATTCAGTCAGGGATGTTATTTAAACACATCACATCCAGATCTTCTTCAGGCACACGTATCGTCAAATATAACCTTGATCGCGTGGAATGGATGCTGCCATGCTGCGATGGTTATTAAACTGGGCTTGCAATCTCGGAGTGGCGAGTTCGATGTCATCTCCTGGCGTGATAGTTGAGCGTCAAAAAATAGCTATATACTTACTACGTAAATGTTTAAAGTATTGAATTATTGCACAGGCACGGCTGCATATCCCTATTGCTGCCTACATGAAAAACAGTAACATCTCTCGGGTTTTTGGTCTAATTAGATTTTATTTTTGTAAACCTGTGTGTGGGTCGGAACATGAGTGCATTCACTTTTAATGGGAATATCGTGTGCCTTTGTAGGGTTGGAAAGGGCTGCAAGAGAGGTTTCCAATTATGTTTTCGTGTTCTAGGGTAGCTCCAGCTATTAGGGAGTTATGGCTTCGAAAGTTGAACATGGCCACGCAGACAACCCAAAAAAAAAGTCAGATCTTTCAATGAGCCATGACTTGGAAGCTGTGTCACCTACGAGCCTCCAATTTGCAATGTTAAGTCTTTACGGTTCCTGAAACTGTGCCAAATGTATTGTATGTGGTCATATTGGAGACCCAGTGGTTTGACATTTAAAAAGTTCAACATGCATTAATACATACAAAATGACTCATCTTTGAGTGTTAAATCTATTTGTTTTTCAGGCCTGCACGAATATTTAAGTGAGTGATGGGGTTTTCGCATGTGTCGGTGAAATGGTGAGTATGGGTAGCGGTGGTGTAGCTGTTAGCACGCTGTGCTACAAACCCAGCAACTCGGGTTCGATTCCCGCTAATGGTCAACACCAGTGACGATTATCTGAACCGGTCCTGGGCCTACCCTAAGTCGACTCAGTCTCAATTTAGTAGCTAGTGCAGTGTGTGTAACCATCGCCAATCGGGAGACAAAGGCGGTCGGGTGTGGTGTTGGCTACCCACTCCCTCGTGTGCCATGCCGGACTTCATAGGTACTTGTTAACAGCATTTGCCCCAACAATCTGTTCCAGGCTATACGGGGGATATTTGTGTTCATTATGGACACATTTTTTTTTTACCTTTTGTAAATGTTCCAAGATGAGAGTGATGAGCATGAGAGAATTTTTCGGACAGTGCTCCAAGTGCTTTTTCAATTTCCACCATACCAGAGGAGCTCCTGGAATTTATGAGAGAAAAAAAAAGACAACCCACCACATTATAATTACGCGGTCAACAAACAGGACTGGAGAAAAAAATCGACATTCAACTTGAAAATGAATAGCAAACAACAAATCCAGACATCACTGTCATATGCTGTGTGCGACATTTTAAACAAACAAGACATTTTGTATTTTATATATTCTATCTCGCTTCCCTCGTCACTGTTTCTCCCCCCCCCACTCCTTTCTATGGCCAACCACGATTCCATTCTTTGTCACTTCTAGCCGCCGTACGCTTGAACAAACTTCCCCTCCACGTCAAACCATCGCACCTCCCGTTTACACGGTTGGCTATGTACGGTACGAAAGAAGTTCAACATACATTCAGCCTGACTATTTTTCCTTCTTGCCTCCAAACTTACTTATTATCCCTTGCATACCCCAAACTCCCCTTCCTGTCCCATCATTAACTCCATCCCTCTTCGCAATTTCCCTACCCATTCATCGCGCCCACTCATCATCAATCACTCATTGCCACTTTCATCATCGTTATATTAATTTCACGCATCATCATGTTCATCATTCTCATCAACCCATCTCATCTCATCACGCTGTTTTGCTGTACAATTCCTAATAATCTGTTTAGAGCCTTAAGGCGAAAAATAAATTAGATAAAAATAAGATCTCCAGACACTGTACAAAACCGTGGGTAATGCATCATCTCTTGGAAAATGGAGGCATATCTTTATAAACTCTATATCTGCATATGCTTATCTTAGGGAAGCTGCCAGTCTAATTGGTCATCACACGGGATTCGCAATCAAGAGGTCGCCGGTTCGATCGCCCGCCTTGGCAGCTGAAACGACAGTGCAAGTTTTGTTGTGTGTTTATATCTTTTTTGTAATAGCTTTCAATCAGAGCCGGGTGCAGAGCACAAAGCGTGTCGCGAGGAAGGGGGTTCGGGGCAGGGGTACAGAAAATCCGGGGTTCCCGGTCCTGAACGTTAAAAAAAATGTGGGTTTATAGCAGGACGGATATCGGTGCGCTCGGGACCACGAGCGGGGGTTGTCTGCACGTTTCTTGAATCCCTCTGCCTCTGTGCCACCCGGCCGTGTAAGTGGGGAGCGCTGGTCCAGTCGTCGGCAGTTCATGCGCGGTGGGGTAAAGTGTGGGTACTCCCCATCTTTCGTCACCATGGTCTTGGCCAGCGTGGAAGATTAGGCCGATTATAGTCCGAGGCAGGGGTCCTAATTTGGTTACAAAAAAAAATACAAAAGTTTCTATTTCAAGGGCCGCAATGCACTGCGGTGAATACGAGAGACGGTGGGTCCTTAATACATGGCGTCACGAAGCAGTCCTTTAAGAGGCGCAGGTTGCCGACCCCTGGTGCCACTCGAGAGCTTGAAGGGGCCCCCTAAAGCTCCCTCTAGTGGACGCCCTTCCACGGGCAGTGATGTGAGCGAGTCATTACAGCGATGCACCTTTACCTTTGCTCGAATGATGATGATAATAATAATAAATTACATTAACGAGGGTCAATTCATCGAGGGATCTCAGTGCGCCCATGCATAAAGTTGGGAAATATAAATACTGCAGAGTCCAGAGTCCACTGGGTCACACGTGGGGAGTGTAGGCCTGCATTCGAGACAGGTGTGACTCTTCGTAGAAGACCTAACATGGCGAGTAGAGCTCGCCTTGTCTAACCACTGGTGGGGAGGGCATTCCATGGTCTTGGCGCAGAGGGTCAGCTACTTGCTGGGTTTGCTGCAGAGACCAAAAAAAAATACCCATTGCGTTGTAAGGAGTTTTCCAGTTCAATAGAGAAGAACTAGATCCCTGTAAAATGGAACTGGTTCTAGATTTAAAGCTTTCGTGACTGCTAGGATCCATACTCTTTGGTTCTATTGGGTAAAGTCACGTAGGTTAAAATAAAATAACAAAAAATCACAACGTTTCGGCCACAACACAAGCGGCCTTCATCAGGTGAAGGGACGAGACTGTCTGGAGGACAGCGTGACCTTTACCCAATAGAACCAAAGAGTATGGAACTGGTTCCCTTTTATTGGTGCTCCTAAAATGCAGTCACAGGCTGCGGTTTGAAGTTGCAACAACATCGTCCCTTTCTGTTTTCTTGTATCCTCCGGAAACTTCATCTCTCTCTCTCTCTCGCCTCATTTCTCTTCATCGCATTCAAGTCTCTGGAGTGTATCTTTTGTTCGTATTTCTCACAGCCCCCTTGTGATGATTGTAGTGTACCTTGGGACACGATCATGTGTGGTAAAGTAAAAGGTGTTATTTTACGTTTTCCCTTCTGTTTTCTTTGCGTCCATTATTCTTTCGGCTTTTTATATTCTTAGCTCTTTCGGTAAAGGCACGTTGAAGGGAAACAATAAAATAATAAAATATATATAAAACAATAAAATTCTCACGACGTTGCGACCATAACACTAACGGTCGTCATCAGGGGTGTTTTTTCAGCGCTATTCCCAACCTAAACATATAGGAAACGTCGTGATTTATTTTATTTTATACCTACGTGACTTTACCGAAAGAACCAAAGAGTATGGATTCCTGCAGTCACGAAAGCTTCAAATCAAGACTTAAACATATGCACCAATATCACTTTGCACAATACAAATAAAATAATAAAGAACGTAGTCATCAAAATGACTGAATCGTAATTCATAAAAAAAACCACCTTTTCAGGGAACTCACCAAAGGATTTAATTTTCGATTTAAAGCTTTCGTGACTGCAATGATTCATATTCTTTGGTTCTTTCGGTAAAGTCACGTAGAATGAGAATAAAACAATAAATTAATAAAATAAAATAACATAATAAAATTCTCACGACGTTTCGGCCACAACACAAGTGGCCTTCTTCAGGTGAAAGGAACAGACCTGTCGGGACGACAGACATTGAAGCTCTGTGCATGTTGGCATTTAAAAGCTGTCAAGGTGATCTGGATGACGTTGTGGTTCTGCTGGAGGGGACACCCCCGACACTTTGGCGGATGGATGACGACGCAGCGCTCCGCGTGGCTTCTCGTTTCATGATCTCACGTGGCGCGTGCCGTGGTGACATTTGCGTTCATGGGGAAATTCGATTTCGTGAATCGAAAAGTGCCCATAATTTGTCGATTGCGTTTTTTTTTCGGTGAAATTTCGTAAAACGAACGCGTTCGTAAATCGAGGGGGTAACCTGCACCGCAGTTGTAATTGTTGTACACAACCCTCTTTTGAATGACTGTTTAACATTCTCACATTTTAATCGAGCGTTCCATGACAATTTAAAAAGGTGCAGCCCTGCGAGTATTGCCTCATGCCATTACATTTGGTGGGCACGCCGTGGACGCTCTCACATTAAAAAAAAAAACAATTTGGCTAGTGTGCAATCGTAGATACTCCCTCTAGTAGAGGGCCTTCCACCAGCAGTGACGGGAGCACGCCATTATAGGGCTGTACCTTTACATTTATATTTTTACCAATGGAAACTCGGGCTTCTCGTGGGCCTTATGCTTCGGAGGATGTTTAGAGTAGCTTGTCCCAACAATCTTTCGTTCGGTCTGTGCCATTCTTCTTACATCACGCCAAGGTTGGTGAGATGTCAACGACCTCGCTTGGTATACAGGAGGTCGTGGGTTCGAACCCGACCCTGACTCCTTTTTTATATTTGGAGTTTGCGTGTCTCTCTCCCAGTGGTCACATGGATTTTTTCTCCGGGTCCTCTGGTTTTCCCCTCCACATTTATAAACATGCGTTTATATTATTGTGGCTGCTATAAAATTTCACGTGATGATACATTTCGTTAAGCTGTCATCTGTGGCCAGGTTGCTTCTGAGAAATAATAGTTCAGTGGGCTTTATTTGGTAAAATAATCACAATTTATTTTTTTGTATATTTGTGTTGAGTGATTTGTTTACCTTTCCTATACTTTGTACTCCTTTCGTGTTTTTGTGTTGTTTGTTGTAACTTTCTGACCCGCCCCTACTGGACATCTGTGAAAAAAAGCTTCATTGCTCATCAGATTTTTCCAGGATAAATAAAGATTCTGATTAAGTTGCTTGATGGACGTACACCCATTGTCCACTGGCACATCCAAGCCTTTTGAGTCTTGTTTTTCAATCACCGTGCATCAGAACACATGTTTTTTTAAAGACGATGAATTTACCTTATATCAGGGGTTGGCAAACTGTGGCTCTGGAACTGCACGCGACTCTATGAGAACTGCTTCAGGACGTCGTTTATTAAGGACCACCGTCTCGTATTTGCATGTATTGCGGTTCTTTAAGTATTGGTTTTTTTTTGCTGTTATTTTGGTTTCCCGACCCCTGCCTTATAACCTCCAGACTGGCATTAACTGCTTCAAGCGCACTGTTTCTCAACTCCAAGCAATGTGCATATTTCACATATCTGACAAGAGGACTGCAGTGTACGGTGTCATGCAGTTGTTCAGGGATTGTTCACGATTGATTTCATAACACACGAGGCTGAGTGATATA